TTCCGAGGTGCCAGTCACCAACCTTTTTGTTAGAGTGCATTGACCGTTTATACCACCCAGGTGCTCCGCCTGCTTGTTAGGTTGAGTTGGGCCTGGCTGTTTTTCTTTCTGCTGTCTCTTCTCTACTCAGCATGAGAGTTGGACCAGCCTGGACTGCCACATTTCAACCAGCTGCCCCAGGTGACCTTCTAGTGAGAAGATCTGAGCAAGAGCTTGGCTTCTTTGTCCTCGCCCTAAAGCACTCGGGGCTCACAGATCCATTTTCAGAATGTTTCTGTCATTGATGTGCACCGCTTGCCAATGAGAGGGTTGGAGGAGCTTGGATGTGATGTTCTTCAATTTGCTTGAATGGGAAGGAAACCCAGCAGAGAGGAGCTGGAGAGGTGTAAGAAAGTCAAATTTTCTAGCAAGAGTGGTCACCTGCTGTTACGGTTGATGTGATGTGTCAGCTTGGCTAGGCTACGATTCTCAGTGGTTTGGCAGACACTGGACTGGGTGCTCTTCCACAATGTAATATAATGTAATCACTTTCCGTGATGTGATTTGATGTGCTCACCCAGCCAGTTGAAAAGGGAGTTTCCTTGGGGGTGTGGCCTGCCTCCAGTATGTAAGTGGATGTTCTGGCAAAGCTTGTTCTCTCTCGATCCTGCACTCTTCTTGTCAGTTGACCTCTGGTTCCAGAGGTCTCCAGCCTGCTGCCTGACCTACGAATTTGGGACTTGTCAGCCCTTACAATTGTGTGAGCCGTTTCCTTGAAGTAAATTTCTATCTATCTCTCTCTCTTTCTCTCTCTCATCTGTCATCTCTATCTAGCATCTCTCTCTCTGTCTGTCTATCTGTGTTTCACTGGTTTTGCTCCTGTAGAGAACCTAGACTAAGACACCTGCTTTCTGCAGTGTGATCTTTGTCCCTCATCACCTGGACTTGGCTCACCTTCCCCCACCTTTAGAGGATCCCAGAGACCACCTGACGCTGCCTGTTGCTGATCATCACAGAAAACAAGAGTGAGGCAGCCAGCGGTTAAGGCAGAGCCAAGAGTGAGTGATGGAAGTCTCTGTTTTTGTATTTAAGAATTCTTTCTAGCAAATTTATTTGAGTTCAAATAGTGAGAACAAAAGTGGGCCAGACGTCTTCACTTGACAAGCAATAGTGGAGGAAGTTTTTCTACCCCTGAGGCCATTGTTTGTAACAGCAGAATCCTGGTGACAGCCTATACATTCAGAGAGAAAAATGTCTGGAACACCATGCAGCTCTGAGCGAAGCTTTTGTGGAAGAATATTTAGTGACACGGGGAAACCAAGTAAGAATGGAGTGATTTGGAGATGGCTAGTGGTGGTGGCTGTACAACATGATGAACGTGATTAACGTCACAAATTGAACACGTGCAAAGGGTCGAAATGGCAAATGTTTCGTTATATATGTTTTATCACAATAAAAAGATCTTTTGCCATAAAATAAAAGCAGAGTACAAAATGGCATATTCCATGTGATCCTATCTGAATATATACATGAGACAAAAAAAAGCAAACCCCTTTGCTGTTGAGTGGATTCGGATTCACAGCGACCCTGTAGGGCAGAGTAAACCGTAGGGTTTCCAAGGCTGTAATCTTTACAGGAGCAGACAGCCACATATTTCTCCCGCGGAGCAATTGATGAGTTCGAACGGCCGACCTTTCAGTTAGCAGCCAAGAGCTTCACCACTGCGCCACCAGGGCTCCTGATATATGAGGCAGGATGTTAAAATTGGACACGGTGCTGATTTCCTCGGATGTCTTAAAACGACAGAAATGTGTTCTCTCAGAGTTCTAGAGGCTGGAAGGCTGAATCCAGGGCATCAGCATGGCCGTGCTCTCTCCCAAGGCACTAGAGGAGGATGTGCCCTTGTTTCTTGGCCCAGCAGAGGAAACCAGCCCCAGGCCAGTATCTCCTACCAGCATCTGGTAGCAGCAGGCACGCCTTGGCTTGTGGCTGCAGCAAAACTCCAATCTGCCTCTGTCATCAGCACACAGCTGTCTTGCCAGCATCTGTCTCTGTGCCTCTTCTTATAAGGACTCTAGTCATATTGGATTAGGGCTCACCCTACTCCATTATGACCTCAGGTTAACTGAACTAGAAACATCTTCAAAGACCCTCTTTCCAAACAAGGTCCCATTCATGGTACGAGGGGTTAGGACTTCAACGCACTTTTTTGTGAGACACAATTCAATCTATTACAAATACTTTCCATCTGCTTCAGCTGAAATCCAAGACAAAGACGTCGAGGACTTAAAAACTGGTTTTGTGATGCTTGGCTCTAAGGAACGTTCTTTAGAGACACTAGACAGTGTGCCAGGTCCCCCAAGACCACCATTGTATGGAGAGGGTAAGAGGTGTGTCCCCTGCCTGCGAGACATCTAGGGGTTCTGGGGGTTCATTCACTTGCCTCTCCCTGAGGGCATCAAAGACCTCTGACACCTAAAGGGTCTGGGGGCCCAGTGACTAGCTTCTCCTTGTGGGTGTCTAAGACCTCCAACATCTAGGGGGCCTAGAAGGCATTGACTTGTTTCTCCCTGAGGGCATCAAAGACCCCCGACATCAATGGCATCAGGGAACCCAGTGTTTGGTCTCTTCCTGCGGATGTCAAAGAGCCCTGACATCTAGGGAGTCCGGATGCGCAGTATCTGGCCTCTCCCTTTGGTTGTCAAAGACCTCTAACATCTAAGTCGTCCACAAACATAGGTGGGTACCTGCATTTGCCTTTGGGAATGAAATGAAGATGAAATGAAATTGGAAACAGAACACCACCTAACAAGACACTCCAGATGACTGTCCCCGTGGGTTCTGCCAGGGCTCAGGCTCACTGGAGTAAATAATAACATCCAAATGTTTTTGAGTTTTGAGCTGGTGCAGAACAGACTATCTTTTTTCTTTTTCATATGAAAAGGATCCAGGTCCTCCTAGTGACTGCATTCACTTTTGACAGACATACTATGTGATTACATTGTTGTTGTTAGCTACTGTCAATTCAGCCCAAACTCACGGTGACCCCGTGCACAACAGGATCAGACTGTTGTGCTCCATAGGGTTTTCATTAGCTGATTTTTTGGAAGTAGATTGCCAGGCCTTTCTTCCTAGTCCACCTTAGTCTGGAAGCTCTGCTGAAATATGTTCAGCATCATAGCAACATGCAAGCCTCCACTGACAGACGGGTGGTGGTTTCGCATGAGATACATTGGCCAGGAATTGAACCCGGGTCTCCCACATGGAAGGTAAGAATTCTACCACTGAACCACTGCTGCCCCTGCTATATGATTATGGTGAATGAAATGTCCAGGGTAACCCAAGACTTCTTTAGGGATAGACAGAGCATGGGTTTCCAGTGCTGAGATCCAATATGCAAGGGTTTTATTTTGTTTTGTTTTGTTTCTCGTGCTCATTTCCTTGGTATTATGGATTGAATTGCGTCCCCCAACAATGTGCGTCACCTTGCCTGGGCCATGATCCCCAGTGTTGTGTGGTTGTCCACCACTTTGTCATCTGATGTGGTTTTCCTGTGTGTTGTAAATCCTGCCTCTGTGATGTTAATGAGGCAGAATTAGAGGCAGTTATGTTAATGAGGCAGGACTCAATCTACAAGATTAAGTTGTGTTTTACGTCTATCTCTTTTGAGATATAAAAGAGAGAAGCGAGCAGAGAGACAGGGGGACCTCATACCACCAAGAAAGCAGAGCCAGGAGCAGAGCGTGTCCTTTGGACCCTGGGTCCCTGCACTGAGAAGCTCCTAGGCCAGAGGAAGATTGATGACAAGGACCTTCCCCCAGAGCCGACAGAGAAAGAAAGCCTTCTCCCTGGAGCTGGTGCTCTGAATTTGGACTTCTAGCCTTCTTGACTGTGAGAGAATAAATTTCTGTTTGTTAAAGCCACCCACTTGTGGTATTTCTGTTATAGCAGCACTAGGTAACTAAGACGCTTGGCTAATTTTCTGTCTTGACTGAGTAGCTGGAATGATTAGAGAAGATTGTCCACAAAGTGCCAAGTTACCCAAAAGACAAAGAGGGGGACCGATGAGCAAAAGATGTTCACTCTCACTGACTTGTCTAGCTGAGACAATGAAGATTGAACATCTGTATTTTAATAGAAACTCACTTAGGGCGTGGACAAAGTAACTCTCTCACAAACCTGCATGCAGACCACGGGAAATGTAAAATCTGCAATTTGGAGGAACTCACCTAGCTGATTGGAGTCCGGCAAATGAAACTCTATCAAGAAATCTGTCTTAAAATAATATTCTGCTTCAAAAGTGTCTTAGTTTCTTAGGAGGTTAATTCCAAACTTATCACAGAGGATAACAGATACATTTTACCCCCAAAACAAAAAACCAAACCCGTTGCCATCAAGTCTATTCTGACTCATAGCGACCCTCTAGGACAGAGTAGAACTGCCCCATAGGGTTTCCAAGGAGCAGCTGGTGGATTCAAACTGCCGACCTTTGGTTAGCAGCTGAGTTCTTAACCACTGTGCCACCAGGGTTCCATATACATATATACGTGTGTGTGTGTGTGTGTGTGTGTGTGTGTATGTATGTATATATGTGTATATGTATGTATGTATATCAAAGGCACCTGGGGGCACAAATGGTTAAGCGCTGGGCTGCTAACAAAAAGGTTGGCAGTTCAAATCCACACAGCAGCTCCATGAGAGAAGGATCTGGTAATCTGCTCCAGTAAAGATTACAGCCAAGAAAACCCTATGGGTAGTTCTAGTCTGTCACATGAGGTCGCCATGAGTCAGAATGGACTCGACAGCACCTAATAACGATACACACACACACACACACACACACACACACACACACACACACACACATATAACTATCTCAACAGATCTAGAAGTATTGTCATTTAATGACAACATAGACAGCCCATTCATACACACACAGTGAATGGTGAAAAGCCCCACAGGCCCGGTCCTTTGGGCCACCCCCGCCTCTGCCTGGCCGGCTGCCCCAGCTCAGCCCTTACGCTTGTTGGCTCTCAGCTTCTTCTCGTCCACAGGAATGAGGTCCAGGTAGTCCAGGTAGTACTCATAGCTGTAGGACGGGGCCGAGGAGTTGGTCTCGTTGGCCATGTAGGCAGCGCCGGAGCCGGCGGGCTTATCTCCCAGCCCTGGAAGGAGATTGCCAGATTGCCTAAGCAATTTCCGTAGCACTCATTCAATGTGTCTGCAGGTCTCCAGGCTCAAGGCCTGCCTGCTATCAGAGCTGCTTGGCTGGAAGGCAGGCCAGGGGGGTGTGCCCGATGTCTTCAGCAGTGGGACCCTCCCACCCTGCCCCTCCACTGATAACCCTCCTAAACAAACTGAGCTGGAAGGCGGTGGAATGCATTTGCCGTGTAGCTCTGGACTGTCCCTCTGCGTAGGGACAAGGGTCTGGGCACGGAAACAGATACCTGCCCCCTTGAAAGAGAAGATGCCGAATAGGGCTAGAAAGGACAACAACTTTTTGGCCTTAAATAGTTAAAAAGTTGGTAAAACTCCAACCCAAACCTGACAGTGCCCTTGACTTACATTAAGGCAGTTCTTGGGGCTGTGAAGCAACCAGCGCATCACTGCCTTAGACTTCATATCTGAGTGATGTCAGCCCTGAACTTGGTAACCTCGCTTGGGTACACACGTCCGATTAATTAAAACCAAAAGACCCTTTTCCTCCTCCCAGAACTGAGGCTGCCTCTTGGCTTCTATTAAGCCTCCAGTAACTCTCCGTGGGCCACATTTGTTCAGACTGAAGGGGCTGTTTGTCTGGGCTGAGCTCCCACGGGGGCTGAGCTCTTGGGAAATAGGCCCCAGGGTTGACCCAGCTCTTGGCTGATGTCAAGTCGATGAGGTTTCTGTGTGGCCTGCCTCCAGGTCGCACACTCAGCCTCCCAAGATCTACAGACGCGATCGAGAACAGCACTGGGTTCCCGAGGTCCGGAACGAACGGGGCTAAATGTGAGACCAGCGAAGACCAACAGCGACCACGAAAACCAGGGGCCGTTGGTCGAGTCTGACTCGCAGCGCCCCCGTGTGTGTCAGGGTGGAACTGTGCTCCACAGGGTTTTCAATGGCTGATATTTTGGAAGTAGATCTCCAGGCCTTTCTTCTGAGGTGCCTCTGGGTGGACTTGAACTGCCACCTTTCCATTAGCAGCTGAGCGCGTTCACTGTTTGCACCACCTGAAAACCAAATGTGAGAGGAGCCTTAGAATTTAGCCTTTGGGAATTAGGAGCCCAAATGCAGAGACTTATGGGGTCTTTTTCCCAAAAATACCGACTTTCTGGTGTTCTTGAGTCAGGTCTACACTGCCAGAGTAAAGCTGGTCATTGACAGTGTGGACGGCCAACCCAGATAACTTAAGCTCCCTGCTGGTTTTGACCCTGTACTCCCAAGCCTGCTGTGCCTGAGGGGGCCATTCTGGGGAGACTGAGCTGATGAGAAGGGAGGAATGAATTCCTGGGTTTCCGAAGTGAGGAGGTGAAAGGGCCCCTGTAAAAGATAGACCGCCTACCTGCACACACCTGTATGCTTCCAGATGTTACCTTATAAGCCATTGTACGCGTGTCTCCCAGGTGTTCTTCCTGAGGGGCAGTGGAGTGTGGTGGATAAGAGGGTGGATTCTCGAGCTAGACTGCCTGGGTTCCAGCGACCTAACCTCTTTCAGGTAGCTGTCCTCACCTGTGAGGTGAGCGCGACGGTAGCCTGTGTCTCCCAGAGCCTCTGGGTTTAAATCACTTACAGCAGTCCCTTGCCCGTGATATTGCCGTTCACTGCCGTCGGAGCGAGCCCGACTCAGGACGTAAGCAGCTGCGAATGAAAAAAGCATGATATAAAAAGGTACACGCTGCATTGCATGAGTCCACTTACATCCAGTTCAAAAACAGGCAGAACTAATCTGTGATGATAGAGGTCCGAAGTGTGGCTTTCTGGGTGGGGTTTGGAGAGAGGGGGGTATCGACGAGGAAGAAGCGTGAAGGGCCTGCTGAGACACTGAAGATGGTCTGTATCTTGATGTGCGTGATGATCACACGCATGTGTGCACGTGTGAGATACCCGTCAAGCTGGATACTTAACATCTGTACACCTTATTTATTTTTTTACACCTCGATTTTAAAATATTTTTAAAGGTAGCTGTTGTTGTGTGCTGTCAAGTTGATTCCAACTCACAGCAACCCCACGTGACAGAGGAGAACTGTCCCATAGGGTATACTCTTTACGGGAACAGCTCGCCAGATCTCTTCTTCAGCAGAGCGGCTGAACCACTAACCTTTTGGAGAGCAGCCCAGCGCTTAACCATTGCTCAACCAGGGCTCCTAAAAAAAAAAAAAAAGATGGTAGACTGAAGACAAACACAAATAATTAGAGTTGAGAGAAAGGGGGTGGGCACTGAGGCCTGGTGGGATGGAGGAAGTTGTCCTGAACCACACAGAACTTAAACTTGAAGAAGCGGAGTAGGAGGAGGATTGGGACTAGCAGAGAGAAGGACCAGCCTTCACACTGGACTCAGATATTTTCACCCTCTGGGTCTACTCCACACACCAGTTTTCCATATCCCCTTGACTCCAACCTTCTAAGATTAGAATAGAAGAGAAAAAAATTCTAGTGAATTGGACAGATACATGTTAAATTGCCTAAAACTGTAAAAACATCTATTGTCCAGCTTAAGGTAGAGCTGGTAGCATAATTGTTGCTTTTCCCACAAATCTTCAAAAGTTAGAGGCCCTACGTCTTTATCTTTTTATCAACAAAATCTCAGTCACTCTTGAAATTGAACCTCTGCTTAGTCACATTTCTCTGCTGCCAATATTCTATTTCATTCATTTGACCTTCAATTCCCAGTTGAGAATGAGTCCTTGTTCTTAAGATACATGCCTATGTCTTAAGAACATATAATATTCCTTTTGCAATACATTGCTTTTCTTAAGTCATGTCCATGTCTAACTCATTTCCCACCGAAGACTGCCTGGTGCCAAGGACAGCTCACTGGACTGGGAGTTGGCTGACCTGGGTTCTAATCTGGGCTGAGCCACTAATTGGCTTGGAGAGCTTGAGCAAGTCACGTGTGTGTGTGTGTGTGTATAGGTACACGTGTGTGTGCATATGCACACACACTGGCGGATGGCAATGGTAGCTGGAGGTTGGAGAAAATTTTTACTACAAGTTCTTAAAGAAGGGTGGAGAGGGAGCTGGAGACTATGATTAGCTGAAGGTAAGGAAGAGAGGGGATCATTCAAAGCTGGCATTGTACATGGAAAACGATGGAATGAATTAAGAGAGAGAGGGAGAAAGTAGAGACAGAAAAGAAGGTGGGCAAGATGGAGGGTGAGAAATGGGAAAGAATGAGAACATAGGATGAAAGGCCACATTCGCTGGAAGGAAACAATAGTAGCTTATATTTACCAACTGCCTAGGTGGTGCAAACAATTAAGTGCTAGACTACTAACCAAAAGGTTGGCAGTTCAAATCCACCTAGGCCTGGGAATCTACTTCCGGAAGGTCACAGCCTTGGAAACCCTATGGAGCAGTTCTACTCTGCACGCGATATCCCATTGTCTTAGTTATCCAGTGCTGCTGTAACAGAAATGCCACAAGTGGATGGCTTTAGCAAACAGAAATTTATTCTCTCACAGTATAGGAGGCTAGAAATCTGAATTCAGGGTGCCAGCTCTAGGGGAAGGCTTTCTCTCTGTCAGCTCTGGGGGAAGGTCCTTGTCATCAATCTTCCCCTGGTCTAGGAACTTCTCAGTGCAGGGACCCCAGTTCCAAAGGACGCGCTCCACTCCTGGCTCTTCTTTCTTGGTGGTGTGAGCTCCTTCTCCTCTCTGCTCAATTCTCTCTTTTATATCTCAAAAGAGGTTGACTCAAGGTACAACCTAACTGTGTAGATTGAGTCCTGCCTCGTTAACTAACTGCCTCTAATCCTGCCTCATTAACATCATAGAGGTTAGGTTTTACAATGCATAGGATAATCATGTCAGATCACAAAATGGTGGACAACTATACAATACTGGGAATCATGGCCTAACCAAGCTGATACACATTTTGGGGGGACATAATTCAATCCATAATTTATCCAAATATTCCATAATTTATATATTCTTCTGGTGGTGAGCATTTGGGTTGTTTCTAGTTTTCAGCTTTTATGAATAAATGGGCTCTGAACACTCTTTGTCCTGTCGTCAGTGTCCCCAAGCACTGATTTGTCTTGGGTATACATCAGGAGTGGAATTGGTACGCATAATGTATACGTACACTTAGCTTTAATAGATACAGCTAAACACTTTTCAAAAGCGTCAGTACCAATTTATGTTCCTACAAGCAATATATGTGGGTTACATTTGCCAAAATAGCTCAAATTCTTCTCTTCCCTGTGTACATGCCTCTTACAATGTGACTCTCCGTCTCCTTACATTAAAAGGTGGCATGTATTTGTCCACTCTGTGAATTTCGCCACCCACTGGATGGCTTTGTGAGTTATTTTGGCTCTAGTCAATACAGCTCATGTGAGGTTGTACAAGTTTCAAGCCAAGGCCTCAAGGGGCCTTGCAATGCTTCCACTCTCCCAGAACCTTGCCTGGTCACTGTGTGATTAAGCACAAGCTAGCCTGCTGGATGAACAGAGACATGCTGCCCAGTCAACAGCCAGCTAACCCCGAGGGGCGGAGCTGCCTAGCTGACCAGCCGCTGACTGCAGACTCATGAGTGAACATGGCCAAAACCCAAAGAACACCCAGCTGAGCCTGGCTTAAATTGTTCTTCTACAGAATTATGAGATTTTGAGCTAATTAAAGTGTTGTTCTTTTAAGCCACTAATTTTGGGGTGATTTGTTACATGGCACAAAATAAATTATGAGAGGTCCAATTGCTCCACATCTTTGCTGACGTTCAATAGTGCCAATCCTTTTAATTTTAGCTCTTCTGGTAAGGGTTGACCATATTTCTGAATTTATGTGTGTACACATCTTAATTTTCTGAGCGTTTGAAGACAAAACCATGCTTTCCATAGCAGTTATAATATCAGTATTTGCTGATAGCATCAATCATATCAGATGAACAACATTTATTCCTAACAACCAGAAATACTAAAGCTGCAA